CATCCCTGCAGCTCCAGGGACACCCCACTGCAGCTCCCCAGCAGGACACAGCTCCAGAGACAGAGGCAAATCAGAGCTTTGTCCTGTTGGGTTTAGTTCCAGCCAAACCAAACTGCTCTGGGAGGAGCAGTGGAGTCTCCTCTGTGGTATCTTATTGCTCTGAGCTCCCATAACCTGACAATTTCCTGCTGAGCTCTGTGCTCAGCTCGTGTCCTCACACCAGTGGGACACCCTCTTCTGAAGGGTCCTTCATCCCAAGGGTCACTCCAGGCCTTTCCCTGCAGTTTCTGGGGTACCTGGGTTCAGTCCCACAGCTCAGGGACCAGCCTGGACAGGCAGGTCCAGCTCCTGGGCTCCCCAAAGGCGCCTGGGATCCCTGCTCTGCAGAGCTCAGTGGGATGGGGTGGGACAGGCTGCCCGTGCCAGGTCAGGCTCCTCCCCACACCCCAGGATGGCCCAGAGCTGCCATCCCTGCCACCAGTGCCAGCCCATCCAAGGACAACTTGCCGAGGACAGCGGTGACACCGGCCCGGGCTCGTCCCTCCGCCTTTGCTCAAAGGGCAGGGCAGCTCCAGCACAGGGATACTTACTCCTACAAAAGGTGCCAGCTCCGGGGGGACAGGGAGAGGTTTGGCACCAGGGATGGGATCAGAGATGATGAGGTTGGACTTGGATGTGGACAGAGGGCTGGGCATGATGGTGCCATTGCTGCTGGCAGCCATCTGCTGCATCAGCTGGATGGCGCGCTCCGGGATCTTGTTGGGGTCCGAGCAGGACTGCTGCCACAGCGGCAGCTTCTGCGTCAGCATCTCCTTCCCCTGCAAAGCAAACCAGGTGTGAGGGCACAGGGTGCAGCTGCTGTGCCCCCCTTCCCTGGGCAGCACCACACGCAGCCAGGGCTGAGCTGGGACCGATTGATGGCTCTGTGCATGGCACAGGGAAGGTAACACCCAGGGACACCCTGCTCCAGGCTCCAATGGCAGCAGGAATCATGAAAAATGGCAATGAGGGAAGGGAAAGGTAAGCCAATCTCTCCCCATCATGATGTCCTGTGTGCAGCATCTCCAGGCTGCAGGGAGTTGGGCCCCACGTAGAGCAGAGAAATAAATAAAATAAATAAAACCAGGCTGAAAGCATGGCAGGGCACAGCCCGTGCTCCAGGCTGTCCCCACATCCCCAGGGATGAGCTGCTTCCTTGGGGGGCTCAGCCCCAGCAGCCTGCAGGCCCCTGTGCTGCATCCAGCCCCACTGCTCCCTGCCTGCAGCACCATGCTCCAAGGGGCAAACACATGGAGCCAAACTTGTCCTTATTCCCCCAGAATGTACCAGCACATCCCCCTGTGTCACTCAGAGGGGGGAAGATGTCCTAGCCCCCTCGAGGGCACTCCCAAGGGTGACCCGATGTCTCTGCTCTGCCTCACCTCGATACACAGTGGGGTTCTGCATATCAAAATCCCCCTTTAAACCCAATTTCAAAGTCCCTGCATATTTCCCCAACACCAGCCAGCAGGCCCAGCCTCATGGCCCTGTGGAGCATCCTGCAGGAGCCAGGGGCAGCAGCAGGATGGAGCTTTGAGCAGGACACACACCACGCCATGGACAAGCCACCAGCAAAGTCCCCCCTGCAAAATCAGCCCGTGTGTGCTGCTGCAGCAAGGTTTGGTTGGTTCCTGCTGACCACCAGCCCTGGGGGGGCTTTTCCTGCACTCTGCCTGCCAATCCAAGCGTGGATCCGTGCTGTGGATGTGCCAGGACAGAGCTGACTAATGCCAGCTCCCTCTCCTGCTCCAGTGCCAAGCGTGGTGGCGACAGATGGCTGCTGTGAGCCACGCGGGGCGGTGCTGGGGAACAACCAGAAGGGAGCACGAGGCTGCAGGAGCAGCACCAGATCCTGGGGGGATCCTGTGCACACCCGTGCAGCTGCTGCAGCTCCCCAGGCGGGCAGGGGCAGCTCCAGCCCTGCTCCAGGGGGCAGCACGGGCAGCGGGGATGTGGGGTCACCATGGGCAAGGGGGATTTGGAGTCACCATGGGCAAGGGGGATTTGGAATCACCATGGGCAAGGGGGATTTGGAGCAGCTGCTCCTGCTGGGGCACCTTCCCTGGAGTTACCTGTTGGTCACCACCCCCTCATTCCCTGGGTCTGTCCCTGTGTGTGTGTCTGTGTCTGTGTGTCTGTCCCTGTGTCTGTCCCTGTGTCTGTGTGTGTGGGGCTGCACCTGCTGAGGTTTTTGGGATTCCAGGCTGTTCTGTGGGGTGCAGCCCGAAGTGCCAGGGCAGCCAGGCAGGCTCAGGGGGTGCCACACTCACCTTGGCATGGTAGGTGATGGCGCTCTTGGCCACCGCACACTGCTTCTCCACCAGGAAGCAGAAGCGTCGCCTCTCCTCCGTCAGAGCTGTCTTGTAGCCATCAGACACGTAGTTCTCCAGCTCCCCTTGCTTGTTGCTGATGGCCTCGATGTACTGCAGGAGAGAGAGACAGGAGGGAAGGGGCTGCTGGCAGTGCCACGGGGCAGGAGGTGATGCAGAGAGGGGCGGGAGGGACCCCGGCATGGGACAGACAGAGGGACACCCAGGGACAGACATGGGGACATACACAGGGACACACAGACACAGGGACACACAGCCACAGGGACACACACACAGGGACACACACACAGGGACAGGGACACACATACACACACAGGGACAGACACAGGGACACACACACACAGGGACAGACACACACACTAGGGGACAGACAGACAGACACAGGGACACACACACACACACAGGGACAGGCACATACCCAGGGACAGACACAAGGACATACACAGGGACACAGACACAGGGACAGACAGACAGACAGACACAGCGACACACACACACACACACACACACACACAGGGACATACACAGGGACACAGACACAGGGACAGACAGACAGCCACAGGGACACACACACACGCCCAGGGACAGCCACAGGGACACACACGTGTGCCTGCACACCCCCCAGCCCCTTACTCACGGCACCCCCACGCGGAGCTGACTCAGCCGTG